TTGTAAAATAAATAAGTAACCGGATGTAATGTATAGCATAAGGAATATAGTCAAAATATTGTAACAACTTGGTATGGTGATAGCTGGTACCTAGAATTATCATGTATATAAATGTTCAATCACTGTGTTGTACACCTGAAACTAATGTAATACTGTGTGTCAACTACCCTTCAATAAAAAATAATTATCTAAAAAAATAAAAAATGAAAAACAATTGTTAAATATATGAAATAGTGATTCTCAAACTTTAGTACATCAAAATCACTCAGAGGGATTGCTAAACCCTAGATTGCTGGGCCACTTCCCCAGAGTTTCTGACTCAGTTAAGTATCAGGTGGGGCCTGAGAATTTGAATGTCTAACAAGCTCCCAGGTGACAGAGATGCTTCTGACTGGGACCACATTTTGAAAACCACTATTTTTTTTTAATTGAAGTACAGTCGATATATAATATTCTATTGGTTTCAAGTATATATAATGATTTAACAGTTACTAAATTATTAGATGCTTGCCCCAAGTGTTGTTACTATCTGTCAACATAGAAAGATATTACAGTGTTATTGACTATATTGTATATGTTGTACTTTCACCTTATGACTAATTTATATTACAATTGGTATTTTATGACTCTTAATCCCCTTCACCTATTTCACCCACCCACACCAATCCCTCCTGTCTCACCAGTGGGTTTCAGCCCCTAGCCAGGTCACTCTTGATTCGGTGAGACCGAAAGATGACAATGGAAGGTACTTGGGGTGAAAGGGTTTATTCCCAGCTTTATTCCCACGGTGGCAGGTCAAGCGCAGGAATTCCATTAGGGCAAGTCTGCGTGCAGCCAGCTGGCCTCTGCCCCTGGGCCTCTCCGTCCCCGCAGCCGTCTTGGTCTCTGTCCTTAGCTCTGCCACCACTCCAGCCTCTGCTCTCCTGCAGCCATGCAGTCCAGAGCACCAGGCGGAGCTCTTTACGTAGAGTCAGTGGTAACGTATTGCCCACACGTGTGCAGTGAACAAACTGACCAGGGCCAGGTGAGAATCCTGGCCATAGGAACTTTCATTTTCTCTACACTTTCCTAATTGTAACCACTAATGTCTTCTCTGTGTCTGTGAGTCTATTTCTGTTTTGTTTTCTTTATTTGTTAATTTTTTAGATTTCACCTATAAGTGAAATCATGTGGTATTTGTCTTTCTCTGCCTGGCTTATTCCACTTAGTATTATACGCTCTAGGTCCATCCATGTTGTCACATACGGCAAAATTTCTTTTTTATAGTGGAGTAGCAGTTTGTTGTGACCGCATCTTCTGTATCCATTCATCTATTTATGGACACTTTGATGGCTTCCATATTTTGGCAATTGTAAATAATGCAGCAATAAATATGGGAGTGCAAATATCTTGTTGAATCAGTGATATTGTTTTCTTTGGGTAAATTCCCAGAAGTGGAATTGCTGGGTTGTATGCTATTTATATTTTAAGTTTTTTGAGGACCCTCCACACTGCTTTCCACAGTGGCTGCATCAATTTACATTCCCACCAATGACCTGCCACAGGGCAGCGTCCCAGAACAAAGATGACCGTCTGGGTGTCGAATGGCATTAGGAACATAACGTTGAGACACTCAGCTGAGGACCCCAGAGCTGAGCTCAGCACGTAGAGGGTGAAGCTGCCGGTAGGGCTGCCCCCAAACGTCAGACCACGCAGATGTGGACAAGCAGTAACAGCAGCAGTGTGGTGCCATGGCAGGAGGACGGGGTCCTCCCTCTGCTTTGGACTGCATGAGCCCCCGGGTATAACCCCAGTGCAAAGTAGGAAGTCACCAAAGTTGGCCAGTCTTGATTTCTCTCCAACTTAATCAGGGGAGCCTGAAGCCAGGTTTAATTTGGTTTGGAAAAATTATGATATGTGATATTTTTTGTCCTCAGAATGCTGTGGAGAAATCCAGATTGCTTTAATACCTTCTGATGAACAAATCCCCATCAACCATTTGACTGAGAACCATGGTTGTTTCCCTGATTATAAAGCCCCCCTTAACTAGGGCAAAGGTCAGGGGGACTATTGCTCTCTGGGCATTGAGAACGGGAATTGCTGAGTTTTGAGTGTGTGGACGGTGGAGGGGAGGACTGGAGAAGCATTTGAGACGGAGTCAACAGATTACTGCAGGGGATTCTAACTGGGAATTACTTTCTTCTGTTTAAATGAATGCTATGGTTAGCAAAGAAATAGAATGAATAGACTCATTTGTAAATTCAAGCGCTGCATATAATTTTCCAGGCATTATGTCAGGAGCTGGATGTACAAAGATGGATTAGACATAGACTACAGTTTTTAAGAGGTACTAATGGGGTAGGGGAAAGGGTAATGGCCAATTTAAAAACAGACAACTAAGAGAGCCCCTCTTTTAATTTTCTAAAAGGTTGATCCTCCTGAATATTGTCAAATTATTATACACTGGCCTTATTTTCAGTTAGGGAAATATGACATGCTTTTGGTAATATTTCAACAGTTTATCTAAGGAATATGTGACCATAAGTGATATGCCTTTCTACTTGAATTCTTTAGGTACTGTTTGAAGAATACTATACATGGCCCATACTTTTAAGGTAAATGGTCTAAAACATGTTTAGGTTATGTTGGAAAAGAACTTCTTTAGAAAGAGATTTTTGCTGTCATAACACAGGCTTAAAGTGATACTATAAATTCCTACACACGATCTGCAGTTCATTTTCAGAGAACAGATTCAGAAAAGAAGAGCATTCTCGGCTTGGAAGCATTCTGGCAGCACTCTCTGAGAGTCCCACTGAGGAACAGCCCCTCCTGAGGGCTCGATCTGAGTTGTACTGGCTGGGACTCAAGGCCTGGCACACCTCAGCAGTGCATGGCCCTCCTGGTGCGACAATAAAGAAAATGTCACTGTTGGGCCTGAATGAGACTTTAAGGAAGCTTAGCAAGACCTCCTTCTCTCCGTTTGCTTCAATCCTAGTGTGTGATAACCCATCATTGGATGTTAATTCATCTTTGGGACTTAAATTTTTTTACATGATAAGTTAGAAAAGGAATAAAGTCAGTCTAGATCTTCCCAAAATTGGGAGAAAAATAGGATCACCTGGGAGACTATTTTTTAAGTTGGCAAGAGGCTATCTCAACTGAGAATCAGAATCTCTGGGGCTGGCATGGGGCTGAGAAGAGAGCAGCAACCTATATTTTTAGCAAGCTCCCCAGCAGACTCTGATGTTACCTGTCAGCCCCTATCTTCAGAATATTAGGAAACCACAGTTCCTTCCATACACAGATAAGGAAACTGAGGCAAAAGACTTTCAGGGTATGCCCTAGACTTCCTTGTTTTTTAACAGCACATTGAAATATTTTTTAAGCTTTATTTTCAATAAAGGAGAGAGGTAGAAACAGTAGAAAATGAAGTGAAAAACGAGCTTAAGGTGTGGCTACTAAAAGAGGAATAACTGGTGTACACAGAAGCAACCGGTGAATTGCGAACAATAGTAAGAGCGGAGGGCTGAGCTTCACATTAGATATTGAGAAGGGGTTTTGTTGTTTTTAGTTTTACTAGTAGCCTGGCGCCCTCTAGTGGGCACAAAGCAGTCCAGTGTCTATAGTGAAGCATGTTTCTCATCTAGGAACTGCGCTCTCGCTTTGGGGTCAACATGGTTTCCGTCTCCCTTCACATGTTTAGGTGCCAGTTTCTTTTTCATTAAGTTTTTTCCTTCTATCTTCTCTGCTTTAAAGTCACAGTTTCTTTATCTCCTTGAGAAAAGTCGCAAGATCTGCAGGAGTGAGAACAATTATGCTTAAGGTACTTTTGTTTCAGATTATTCCGAGACTGCTGAAAATATCTCATATTTCTTAAGCCCATCCTAAAAAGTGTAATGTACGCTAGAGCAGTTAATTCAAATGGTCTACACTGGTTCCCCTTGACCAAATGAGCTTAGTTAGAAGATTCCTTAGAATTTACTTCCACTGGTCTGAACATACCTGGTAAAGCGTTCTGATTATAATAGTAGTGGAAATAGGAGACTGGTAGTCCAAATAAAACCCTATAGAATCCTCTAGTCCAACTGCTTCAGTTACAGAGAAAAAAACAGGTGTATGTGAGTAAACAATTTGAAGAGCTTCGGGCCGAGAACTAGACAGGCATCTGTCAAGTTGTCTCACCAGTTAGATGCTCTGCTTCACTTCGATTCTCCAAATACACCATATCAGAGGCAAAACTTGAACCCCTGCTATGTGTAGACCCCTTGAAAATCCCACCAATTACAGACACCGATTGTGATGGTCAAATAATTAAAGAAAGGGAAGTGAACTTGGTTTGTGTATTCAATAAAAGCCCATAATCTGATTTAGGGTTTAGGCATCAAAAGAGGCCACTATCATTGCTTTCAAAAAGAAAAATGGTGCATTTTTAGAACCATGTTTCATCAAATGGGATAATTTCAAAGATTAAGAGGGAATGAAGAAGAAAAAAAATCCAACAGTTATGTTCGGGAAGAAGAAAGGAAAAAGGATTGCAAATAAAAGCATACTTTGTCCAGCAACATAGGAAAATAAAGGGTTACGACCATTTCCTTCTGAAACTTTAAGAGGGAAAAGGGAATTGGCCAGGGAGCTCTGCCCGCCGCCCACCTCATTCTCCTCCCCGGGTCGGGCGCAGGAGGTTCAGCACCTCGGAAAGCGCCCCCTCTCTCCGCGCCCGGGTTACGCATGCTCCTTGGGGACCCGCTGCCGCTTTGCTGATGCGAATGCAACTCGGATACACGGCTCTTTCAACTCACCAGGAGCTGACAACAGCAGAGGGGCGGAGAAGCTAGGCGACAAAGGCGACGTCGAAAGAACTCCAGAGTGTCGGAGCGCGGTACACGGAACTCTCCTGTCTTCTTCCTTCAAAGGACGGAAACCTCGTCGGAAGCAGCTGCAGAGGAAACGGGGAAGGTATTTGAGAAAGAAAGAGCTGGCCGCCAAGAGTACTCCTGAGCGGCAGGGTGGGTGTGCGCCAGGGCCCGAGTGACAGCGGGAAACGCAGAGACGGGGACATCTGAGCCGTACAATAGGGACCCCGGGACCCCGACCTTGGCGAGAGAACTCCAGGACGCCAGGCGCCCGCCTTGGGAGCTGGGCTCCTGGGCTCCTCGACCCGCCTCCAGAACAGACGCGGAGCGCAGCGCTCGTGGCGCCCAGTTCACAGGCCTTGTCTTCACAGCTGCTGTGAAAGCGCTCATTCACGTCCTGCCCCGCGTCCCGGTTCTGAAGCCCCTGCAAGCTGCTCTTGTCCCCCAGACTGTGCATGCAGGTGGCCGCTGCGACCACCAAAGCCACCATGAATAAGGCTGCTGGCGGAGACGAGCACTCAGAACTCTTCGGTCTGATCCCTTACTTTCTGCAGGCAGCCAACACAAGCGGCAATGCGTCGCTTCAGCTGCAGGACTTGTGGTGGGAGCTGGGGCTGGAGTTGCCGGACGGCGCGGCGCCAGGGCATCGCCCTGGCAGCGGCGGGGCAGACAGCGCGGACCCCGAGGCCCGGGTGCGGATCCTCATCAGCGTGGTGTACTGGGTGGTTTGCGCGTTGGGGCTGACGGGCAACCTGCTGGTGCTCTATCTGATGAAAAGTAAGCAGGGCTGGCGCAAGTCCTCTATCGACCTCTTTGTCACCAACCTGGCGCTGACGGACTTTCAGTTCGTGCTCACCCTGCCCTTCTGGGCGGTGGAAAACGCTCTCGACTTCAGATGGCCCTTTGGCAAGGCCATGTGTAAGATCGTATCCATCGTGACGTCCATGAACATGTATGCCAGCGTTTTCTTCCTCACCTCCATGAGCGTGGCACGCTACCACTCGGTGGCCTCGGCTCTCAAGAGCCACCGGACCCGAGGTCACGGCAGAAGCGACTGCTGCGGTTGGAGCCTGGGGGACAGCTGCTGCTTCTCGGCCAAAGCACTGTGCATACTGATCTGGGCCTCAGCTGTGCTGGCCTCCCTGCCCAACGCCATGTTCTCCACCACAATCAAGGTGATGGGTGAGGAGCTGTGCCTGGTGCGCTTCCCTGACAAGTTGTTGGGGGGCGACAGGCAGTTCTGGCTGGGCCTCTACCACTTGCAGAAGGTGCTGCTAGGCTTCGTGCTTCCACTGAGCACCATCAGCCTGTGCTACCTGCTGCTGGTGCGCTTCATCTCCTACCGGCGTGTGGCAGGGACTGAAGGAGCCGCCTCAGCAGCTGCGGGAGGCCTGACCCGAGTCAGCTCCCAGAGAAGGTCCAAGGTCACTAAGTCAGTGACCATCGTGGTCCTAGCCTTCTTCCTGTGTTGGCTGCCCAACCAGGCGCTCACCACCTGGAGTATCCTCATCAAGTTCAACGTGGTGCCCTTCAGCCAAGAGTACTTCTTGTGCCAGGTATACGCGTTCCCGGTGAGCGTGTGCCTGGCTCACTCTAACAGCTGTCTCAACCCCATCCTCTACTGCCTCATGCGCCGCGAGTTCCGCAAAACGCTCAAGAGCCTGCTGTGGTGCATCGCGTCGCCTTCTCTCACCAGCATGCGCCCTTTCACTGCCACCACTAAACCGGAGCCTGAGGATCAGGGGCTGCAGGCCTTGGCTCCTCTCCCTCCGGCGGCCGCGGAGCCGGAGCTGCTTTACTACCCGCCTGGCGTGGTGGTCTACAGTGGGGGCCGCTACGACGTGCTGCCCAGCGACTCTGCCTGCTGACGGATGCCCAGGGGGCGCAGTCACCGCAGAGTGGCCTTACCCGGAGGCGCGGGGAAAGAGGAGAAACGATCAGGGGATGCTGGGGGCCCTCCCAGACCGAGGGTAGGATGAACGAACGAGGAGGGAGAAGCGTAAAGGAGCCGCGTGTGAAAAGGCCGGGAGACTTTCTCCGGAGAGGACAGGCTGCGAAACCAGGCGGAGAGAGGAAGCTGGCAAAGCGGCTGGGATCAGCTCCACAGGGCCAGGCCGTGAGGCTCCTTCCTCCTTCCTCCACACACACCCTTGCCTCTCCTTGCACTGGCAACACTGGGCAGTGTGCGGGCGTCCAGAAGCGGAGGAAGACATAGGCGGTGTAGTGGGACTGGGGCACGAACCAGTGCGGCTAAGCCAAGTGGTATCAGACAACGGAATGAATTTATTCCTGCGATTTTTCTGGAGCTCTTGAAAGGGTACTTGAGGTGCGTCCAGCCGGGAGAAAGGCCCACAGAGCCTTCCCTTTGGGCCTTGGCTCCCCAAGACTGCCGCAGCACGTACGTCTTGACTTGTTGCGTGGCTGCGCCACGAGCCTAGGTTCTGGGGACAAGAAACTTTTTTGAAGTTTGTAAGAAAAGCACTGACAATCCTGGTCCGGCCCCAGCAGAAATGCTCCGCGAGGGAGACACTTTCCATGGGGCCACTGTATCGTTTATCATCCCTTCCAGGGCGAGTGGGCGCACGGGGAAGCGGACCGTGACTCTGCACGGCCTCTGAGCCCGGATGTCACCGGGGGCAAAATACCAGTTCCCAGCGAGCAAGAGCGTTTGCTGGGGAGTGGAGTCACTGCGGGAGGGAGCGCATGCGGTGTGATTTGAGGACTGAATAGAGAGACCTCTTCGGGCTACTGTCCCTAAAGGAAAAGGTGGGCTGACGCTTACCTTAGTAACCGAGCAGGAAATGAGTGCATCGTGTTCTAGAAGACTGGGCGTCCCAGTTTCGCTGACAGAGGGGTGGGTACCTGAAGACACCTGCTCTGGTATGCGCACTGCAGGTGAGCTGTTCCCAGCAGCAACCCAGGCCCGCTACTGGGAGTGGGGACTTTTCTGCTGCCTGCCCTCTCTCACTCTTTGGGAATTGGGATGCCCCTTTGCTTGATGCTCTGGACCAGCAAGTAGAGGGAGGGCTCCCCCACATTTTTTGTAGGCTTAGATAGAAATTAAGAGATGCTGTAGATTTGTGCAGGGGGTTCCTAGAAACAAATTCCTATAAGCTGAAGTCTGATTCGCAAGATGACACACAGGGTGGGAAAAGGAATCTGCCCCAAAAGGGAAGAGTACACAGGCCCTGTTCTGAGGGGATCACCAGAATTTCAGGGGCTGAGTTCTTTATTGCTCATAATATTGAGGAGAGGAGGTAGGGAATAAGAATTCCCATAGGACACTGTTTTAACCAAGTTCCACTTGTTCTAAGGAGTGCCCTGCACCTTGAGCATGCATGATGAATTCTTCCTTAATCCAATGCAGTCTATGTGACTATCACTGAAGAGTGACACATTTCTCATGAGAACTCTGTTCTGCAGGTGATTAGTCCTTTCTTGAGGCTACTTGGAGAACAGGGATCAAACATCAATCTACCCATTCCTGTGCCACTTTTGATAGAGGTGCTGCTGTTCTCTTTGGGGACCTCGTTTGGGGTCAAAAAAACCTACTGGTGTGGTTATTTTAATACAATAAATAATAATTATTTTAAAATGTCTGCTTAAACAGCCTCTTGAACTGTAAATTGTTTTGTAACTTTGTTGGAAATTTCCTGTAGTGTCTGAGATCAAGGCTCAAAATGAGAGCTGTGCAGTGCTGGCCTCCCTTATCCTGCTTTCCATAATACAACACGGTGCAATACCTCAACACTCATACTTGCTGCAAAAACTAAAGTTTACTGATCTTGTCCATTCTAAGCAATCTTGAGAAGTCAGCTTTTTTAGAAAACAGAATAATGCTTTTGTTTTAGCCAAATTAGTCTCTCTTGTCATTTAGGAAGAAAATTTACTGATATTGAATAGCAACTGCACTAATAAAGATTGAACCGTAAGTCCCCCAACTCCCCAAATCAAAATAAATGAACAAGTAAACACCCAGAAAGAACAAATAGTAGCAGTATTTCCACAGCATAATGTGTCAATATATCCACGTATAATGCTGATATCAGACTCTTCCTGAGAGGTTCTCTTTATTAAAGCAACTTGTTGTTTCAGTTTTGGCAATAAAATAATGTGTAGGTAGCTCAAGATTTTTAGCATGTATTTTGTGATGTGTGCTTCTGCTAGGATAAGTACTAAAAGAATAGAAGGGGTCGGGAGCAAGGTCTTCATGAAAGAATTCTGCAAAAAGAGTCACCTTGCCCCCATCCAAACCTGGGGGCTTCTGAGAATTTAGCTGGAGGGAGCAAAGACCGTGACTTGTCTGCCACAGGATAAAAGGATCAACAAGACGATGATCAAATCAGTTGAAAACATCTATTTATTTTTTGAGCCCTGTATATTAACCAGACACAAACCTGACTTCTACCTACAGAAGGAGACACAGCCATGTACACAAGGCAAATCAGTCCTGGAACAAGGAGTTGGAGGTAGGGCTAAAAAAAAGTGATATAGGAATATAGGGGTGGAAGCTTTATTCTGCTGGAAGATCAGAAGCTTCCTGATCAAAACAGTATTTGAGCTGGACCTAGAAGTATGAGTACAATTTAGATGGGTAGAAATGGCAGTTTAGACAGGGACTGGGGACACAGAGAGGACATTTGAAGCTGAGAAATAGCAGTGATCAAAGACTTTGAGGGTGGAGAGTCAGGTGCATGGTGGGGTAAGCAGGAAGCAAAGTAGCATGACTTCCTTTTCTCCCACAGGATTTCCTGAGATTTCCATTAAGAATTTAGGAGTCCCTGCACTTGTTTTTTTGCCTGGGAACAGGACATTGTTTTCTCAGACTATGTCATTGGTATACTGAGAACAAGTACTTGAGTTCCCAAAAGTGGCAAAAGGCTTTCTAAACTGGAGTCTATCCACTCAGTTAAAACCTCAATGGAGTTGTGTGAAGTGGATAACATCTTTGAATATTTGAGTGTGTGTGTGTGTGAGAGAGAGAGAGAATGAGAATGCATGGTCTAGCTTCCTGTTTCATCCCAGTAGCCCAATCTGCATTCCATATGAAAAGACCTTCACTTGTAAAGAAGACCATGCCCCATGGTTGGCCAGGGATGACTACTTTTGACCTCTTGGGGGTCCAGGTAAATGGCCCTCTGCTATAGTCACCGTCCCAGCTTGCTCAGTCATTTCAAAATCTTCAGTCACCAGAGCAGTCCTTAGAGAAATCATCAGTAAATAAACATGGAATGCCACAAATAATTCCATTTCTAAACATTGCAGGGGTCAAGTACAAACAGGTGAAGCAAGAGAGGTATCCCAGTGTGGTTTCTTGTATAATGCTGAGTTCTGTGTCCCATAGGGTCCTCTGAGCACTTGCTCATCATCATCCCACGCTATGGGCTTGGGAGCAGGTGTTCTCCTTGACCGCTCCTCTCAGTCTGTCATGACCTTACAGCTCTAGACAGACAACGTGAGGGGTCGGGGAGATAGGAGGACTGCAGAGCCTTCCAAAGAACAACCAGAGCTTGTTTCCTCTTCTCAGCACTGCTACCCAAATGAGCTGATACTGCAGGAGCCTGGCCAGCTACTAAGCCCATCCACTCTACTGTGCATGAGGTAAACAAAAGCAATAGCCAAAATCCCAATGTCCCTGTTGTCAAATGCAGCTCCTTTCTTCACTTCCTTTCTCCAAATTCCCTTCCAGCACCAAAGCTATTGGTATGTTAGAAATTCATCTGAGGCAATGAATATCAGACTCTGAGATAAGGCAAGAGAAAGAACCACATTTTCTAACTTGTAAAAATACATGGACAAATCTCCATTCTGCACTGCTCAGGCACCCAGAGCTGTGTAGACAAACATTAAGGACTGGGGCAGATGCAGGCATTGGCAACAGGATGGTGAGCCTCAAACAACAGTGATAACTGCTGTTATTTATGGAGCCACAGACCAACAAAACAGAACGGTTGTGTGTGTGCAGAATGGTTGCCAGCTTCCAGTCTAAATGCTGTTCTTACAGGAAATAGCGAAGTCAGAGTGCCCAGTCCAAAGCCCAGCTCTGCCTTCTTGAGTTGTGTACCTTCAGATGAGTTATGTGATGCCTCTCTGCCTCAGTTTGTTCATTTATAAAATACAGATTGATAACAGCATCTACTCCCAAGATCACTGTGTTAACACAGGCAAAAGATTTAGGAGTACACACTCCATAAGATGTTATATTATTAAACACCACAACTCTCTGAGGTAGGAATTATTATGCCAAGTGTACAGATAAACAAGTGTAGCTCAAGAGGTTCAATAGTTTATCAGTGAGCAGCAAAGCCAGGATTCAAAACCAACCTAGCTCCAAAGCTCATGGTCTTTCTACTAAACTATGCTGCTCTTAAGACTGCTGGAAACCTCCTCATGTGAGAAGCAGTTGAAGGGGTATGGCTGAGAACAATTGCTTAGCTTGGAGAAGAGACTATCATATGGGAAATGGGAGGTTGCTTTTTGAAAGGCTTTGTGATGGACTCTAAAGAATGGCACAAAGGTGCAGATTAGAGAAAAATGCGTTACTGTGTTGACGAAGTGATGAAATGGAGGTAAATCCTCCAGCATGAGATGTTCAAGCACATTTGTCAGGGAAATCATAAATTAACATGAATTACAGATATACCTTAACTTATGATGGGGTTATGTCCTGATAAATTCATCATAAGATGAAAATTTCATAAGTCAAAAACACATTTAACAAACCTAACCCACCAAACATCATAGCTTAGCCCAGCCTACCTTAATGTGCTCAGGACACTAACATTAGCCTACAGTTGGACAAAATCATCTCACACAAAGCCTGTTTTATAATAAAGTGTTGAATATCTCATATAGTTATTAAATACTGTATAGAAAATGAAAAACAGAATGGTTGTGTGAGTGCACAATGGTTGTAAGCCTATTGGTTTCTTACCCTCATAGTTGCATCACTAGCCCAGGAAAAGATTGAAATTCAGAATACAAAGTGCCGTTTTTACTGAATTGTATCACTTTCACACCATCATGAAGTTGAAAAATCATAAACTGAACCATCATAAGTCACAGGCTGTCTGCATGAACAAGTTAAATATGAATTAAATATGAGTCAATGTCAAAATAAACCATCAGCAGTATTTTGAGTATTGGTGAGTTGATTAAAAATATGAACCCTCCAACTATATATGGGTCCCTGGTTAAGAAAAAAAAACGCATCATAGAATAAACCCAAACATTATATATAGAGCTGGTCTGCTTCTCAGGTTTTGTCAAAAGCTGCAATGCCCTGTGGGAAAACAGACCCTGCCTCTCCATCCCCACACTGAGACACAGTGAGAAAGGCACGTGTAAGTACTATCACCTTCATTTACCCTTTACCCCTAGTGCATGGAGGCAGAGCCCAGTTTTTCCTAAGACCAATGATGCCTGAAATATAGAAACCGTTGTGCAGAGCATGGCTGAAAGAGATGGGTGCGCAAATTACCACCGCTGTCGGAACATGGGCATCCAATGGGCAGATCCAAAAGATGCAGAGCTAAAGAAAAGATCGACTTCCTGCCATGGGCTTCACTGTATCTACAGACAATGTTTCTTTATTGATCTAATCCACATATCTAACAAAGAGAGCCACAAAGCAGCAGCCGATCAGGGCCGTCACAGACGCTGTGATCACCACGACGATGACGCTCCCCGCTATGTTGACCAGCAAGCCCAGGCAACCTCCGACCAGGATCTGGGCCAGTTGGACCATGCAGGTGAGGGCAGCACAGTCCAGGCCCTGCCCTCTCCAGCTGCTATCCAGGCCCCCTCCCCTGGTCTGCTTCTTCTGCAGGGAAAACACAGGAACAGCACTTGATCTACACGAACTGCCCTTTAGGGAAGAAGTCAGCAATCTTTTTCTGTAAAGAGCTCGATAGTAAATACTTAGCATAGAAGTCACATAGTCTTGGTAGCAACTATACAACTGCCATTACAGGGTAAAAGCAGCTACAGTACATAAATAAATCAGCATTTCAATATAGCTTTCTGGACATTTGTATTTGAATTTCATATAATTTTCACTTGTCTCAAAATATGATCCTACTATTAATGTTTTTTAAAGTTGTTTAAAAGTTTCTAAAGAATTCATAGCTCACAAGCTGTATAAAAACAGGTGGCAGGCACATTTAGCCATCAAGGCATAGTTCGCCACCCCCTGATTTAAGGTCACCAGGAAGTCCCACCCTCCTGGCTGAGATCCCTACCTGCCACAAAATCTTATATTTCATTGCTAGGTTAAATGGTTAACATATGCAAAATTACCTCTTCCCAAGAAGTTAATAAATACAGTGTAGTAGAAACTCAGTAAATATCTCATTCTTTTCCTTCCTTAGCATTACAAATTCATTTATTGAAGGGTATTGAGTCACAGATATATGTCGGAGAAGCAACATAAAAAAAAGTGACTCCACCTTTCAAAATATGATTGATATTTGGTTAGCATATTAATATGATTAGTATTTGGTGTTTGGTCTGAATTGCTTGATAACATTGCCATTTATTGGGTGTCTTTTATATATTAGGCCTTGTGCCAGGTTCTTTCACACATGGTTCTTTGCTTCATCCTCACCACCTGCTTAGATGCACACATTATTATCATTAACCCATGATAACAATAATAATGCTAACTACCAATTTTTAAAAACAATTTCTGGGTACTAGGTAGACACTATGCTAAATAGATTACCTACCCTATCTTGTTAAATTTAATTTTCCACCCCACTTCATCGATTAGAAAGCTGAAGCTCTGAGAATTGAATGATAATTCCTATACAGCCAAGTAAAAAAGCATTGTGCAGAAAAATGCATATTAATCTTTGAATAGGAAAGGAAAAATTAAAAAACAGATTCTATTTGCTTTATCTTCATTTAAAAATACTGGAAATATTAACAAAAATCTAATAAAAGTGGTTACATGTAGGAGCCAGGGGAAGATAGGAAAACAGTGGAGGGATGGTAGGGGGCCACTTCTCTTTATATTTATGTATATCATTGTGATGGGTGAGCCACATGAATATATTACCTCATCTAAAATTGAACTCATTTTGAGTGATGTTTAATAAATAAATGAATAACATCCCCAGTGTCCCACAACTGCGAAATAGTGGAGGCAGGATTTGAATTCAGGGTTCCCTGAGTCCAAAGATAATGTTTTTTTGCCCTAGTACTACCTAACTTTCTCCTTGGAGGAACAGTCTTTATGATAGCTTTCTCTTCAACAGCAAAACCCCTGCAAGCATAGAAACATTAGTGACGATGTTTGCTAGGGGATGAGGATAGCCCAACTCTTGTTGGAACGGTTTTACCTCCTGGTGCAACTGCCCTACTGCATTTGCCAGATCAAATGATGGAAAAGAAGGGAATTGCAGCCACATGGACATGTGTTCAGTGTTTCTGCAGTTTCATGCTGTGATGGATTAAACTGAAAGTTATCTCTCTAGCTTTTACATTACTGCTCAGTTAGGGAAATGTAAGCCTATTTTCATGGGGGAAAAGGTTGCATATTTTAGTAAGAAGAGGTGGTAATTTTAGAGCAGAAATACTCAACTTAGCATTCTCTTAAGGCTGCTACAGATCTGCCTCTAGCCTGAGCTCCAAGGCAGAGATGGGGCAGGCCTTCCTTGGAGCAGCTGGTGGGGGTGACTGCCTGCAACCCCAGCTTTCCACCCTGAACACACCCTGACTTACCTGGACTCAAGGAAAATGTTGACTAGGAATTTCCTACCCTCAACCACTAACACCCAGAAATGCCACCAAGCACCTCTGCCATCTTTGGGGAGGGGGAACCCAGAAATCCTGCAGGTTCACAAGACCTTAGGGCAGCTGTCAGAATCCCCAGGTTCCACTTTCTTTGTCTCTTTGTGACTGTGGGCTGGTTTCCCAGGATTACTGAGCCCCCTTCCCTATCACACAAATGAGGTTAACAGTACCCACTCTGCTGCTCACCAGGTGCACAGGGCTTCAGAGTAAGGAGAGGGATGGGTTTGTGCCTTGGCCAGAACATTGTTACCCTTGACTGGGCATTTTGGTGCTGCTATTTCAAGACATGTATTTTTCAGCTCTGCCCCACACTTTCCTACCAAATCCCCCAGCCTTCAGTTGAGTCTAGATGTCACCCAGCACAGAGCTTCAACTACCCACCTTCTTCTCCTGCTCTTCCTGGTGGTACTTGGCCATGAGGTTAAAGGGCACAGTGTACAGGGTACTGGACATCACACCAAACAAGGCACACAGGACCAGAGTGAAGTAGACATTTGGGAAGAGCCCGATAAACCCCGTCCCCAAGGCAAACAGCAAATACCCCATGAAGTAAAGACTCTTTAATCCAATGTAGGATACCAGTGCTTTCTGGAAGTCTGTGGGGAGAAGAAAGGGAGACATTACAGCTGGCAGTGTCTCATAGCATTTAATAATTTCAGGCAATCCTTTCTTTTGGAGATTTACTTTTGTTTTGTATGAGCCTTCCTTTGATACTGAATCAGGAACAAAACAACTTCCTCATCTATGCTTGAAAACAGCTGGCTTTTGGAATCAGTTTTAAATCCTTTGCATAATAGAGAGCTAGAAATTGCCTTGCTAGGTTGATTTTTCTTGTCCACAAGAAAGAGCCAGGCACTGTTTAGCAAGTGGCTAAAAAGCAAGAGGATGCTCTTCAAGAGGTGGTGGAAAGGTGCCTTGGCTATGGACCCTGGGGAAGAGAAGAGGGGGCTATTCTGATTTACAGGGGTTCAGCCTCATAGAACTAAAGTAACAATCCAAGCCCATCTTGGCCCTACAGCCCAAAGTCAGGTTGGAGGAAATTACAACCACCAGACTTACAGAATGGCTTAAAGGCACTCAGTCTCTTCACCTCCACCTGACTGCCATCTGTACACCTGCAGGAAGTAAAGGATGTACTGTATCTGCAGACGCTTTCCCTGACTTGCCAACCCTTCCCAGGCTGGTGAAGGGCAACCACTACAGCTGGCACCTCCCCACCACGGCTCCCTCCCTTTCTGTGGACAACTTCCTTAACTTCTCAAAACCTCAGCTTTCTCATCTGAAAAATGGGGCTAATAAAACTCTTCCTTGGCATTGTTGTCAGGATCAGGTGAGATAAAATGTCTGTAACCTCACTCAGCCCAAAGCCAAGTACATAGAATACATCGGGTAAGGGTGGTGGTCGTTATTTCAACAAATACAGGCCCAAGGTGGGTTGGGGTAATGGGGAAAAAACCTGAACAATTTAACAGAGGTCGTGCTGGAGCTGGGTCTCAAAGCATCATTATGAGTTGTCTAGATGTGGATGTACAAAGAGCAGCTCCGGTAGAAGAAGAAACCAAAAGCAGTAGCAAATATGCAGAGATGAGAAAGTCTGTGTAGTCAGTCATCAGGGGTGGCATGAGAGAGGTCAAAGTGTGAGCCAACCCAAACTGACAATCCTGAGATGCCAAGCCTGACTTTGACTTAATCCTACGGGCATGGAAAGCCCCTGAAAATCCTTAAGCAGGGCTGACTGGTATTTCATAAGTAAAAATTTAGTTCTAATTCACAATGCTAGGGATCCCATAGATACATGCATCCATATTACTTTGAAAAACTATTCAAATAATAGCTTATTTTGGACAGAGGGTTCTTAACTAGAGAGGATATAAAAACAACATGCTTTTTAATTTTCAAATGCCATGAAATTCATACAGGAACTCAAACTAATCATATACGACCTAGTAAAGATTCTTTGAGGAAGGATAAAAAGTTAAAATTGACACAAAATTAAAATGCTAGTTACTTGTGGAAAAATGTGTTCCTCTTACAAGAACGAGAGTTGAAGCAAATAGTGCCTTCCGCTTTGAAAGCACAAAAGGATTAAGAGGGATAATTTATTTGACCTTTTAGTCTAACACTTTCTGATTCTACTTTAAGTACTTGAAATCTCCCTCCTGGAGTTTTCTTAGTTCTAAGGGGAAAAAAATGAGTTTTGCTAAAGAAATGCAAACTTTAAGCCACCACTATTTGGTTATAAATTTTAAAATGATGAAATTTTATGCTGTTATGATTATTTGTCTCATGAATTCTTATATGTTTAGATTAGGTCCTCTTTTCCCAACTGTTAATTTTGAAGAGATTTTTTTATCTTGAAGCAGGTTTCCTGCTGTGCTGTGGCTAAGTGGAGGGCTAAATGCCAGAGTCAGGGTCATTATATACACCCACCTCTTTTTCCCCAAAGGAAGCACACTTCAATGACAGAATGACTGCCCCGAGAATGGTAACAGGGATTGTCTCCCTTCGCCTCCCCACTTTCCCCACCTGGGCCACACCCCTGAAGTTCCCTGGACTGTCCAAAGCCTAGAGCTCTGAATTGGAGGCCAGCTGTTCTTCCCACAGTCCTGGAGAAGCGCCCATTATTATTAGGAGCCCAATTTCTCTCCCCAGTGGGGGGACCTGCATACATTTTTACAGGCCAGACTTTTCACTTACTTCAATGTATACAGAGCTTGGAGATCTCCATACACATTAGCAAACACCAAGTGAGTCTGTATGATGCCCTAGAGTTGTAGTACATTAGTTTGGACTTATTTAAAACCAATTGAAGAAATTCCTTTGTTTACAGTGTCTTCACAGATGAAACTTAGCTAAGTGGGGGTTAATAGGCTCCAGACCCCCTGGGCACTGCTACCTGAGAAGAAAAGCCATTGTTCTCAATCCTGGAATGGTGCTCCTGTACATAACACCCTGCCCGTCTGAGTGAGGGTCATTTTACACGTTAATTCTGTCACCTCGCATATTGGCCATCCCTCCTATTTTGTGTCATCTACAAATATGATAAACATATCTATTCTACACATGATTTTACTCCAATAGAACACAGACCTATTGTTAATCAATACTGCCTGCTGGGATTCTATCCATCGTCCATCCAGTACTTCACCATCTTGTTTTATTTTCCAGAGAACCTTGGTCAGGAGCCCACTGATTCCAAGGACAAAGTAATTACTGAGGAAAATGATATCTAGAACTCACTATGGAAGGATACTTCATATGGTCCTTTCTAAGGGAATAATTTTTCCTGACCACCTCAGATTTATCAAGAATCTTGTATTTTAAAGAGCAAAAAAATACAGAAATCCAAGATTCTTCTAGACTGGAGCCCTTTAGAAGATACTGTTAGGAGAAGGAGACTTACATGAATAAAGTGAGGAAAACACGGAGTTGATGCATAAGCCCCAGCATCCAACCTCAACCCCTCTTTCATAGATGAGAAACTCTGTGGAGTTGTGTGCACTATACGGATCCCCATGGTACACAATCTGAAAGAAAGATTTGGGCTGTTGAGCTAAAAATGTTGTAGGGACCCCTTCTCACAAGCTCTGCTTTTCCATCTCTGGGGAGTGACAAGTCCCTGCTCAAGGGGCCTCTCTAGAGACAAAGAGCTCATTTTCCAAGACCATGGACTTCCATTCTTACACACCTCTACTCAAGGACATCCAGGAAGTCCTAAGTGCCTACTGCATCCAGTCAAAACAGCACTGCTCTGAATCAGTAACACCCTGCCTTCCACCTAACGTCTGGTCCCACTTGATTTAGGCAACCCTGACACTCTTGCTTTGGCATAGCCAATTGGCTTCTGACTCATCTCCACACAAGCCCTTCCTATTCCTGCTTGGAACGCTTTCCCTCTCTTCTCTCTCTTCAACCCCTACTCACCCTTCAAGGCCCAGATCATACTGCATCTCCCCTATTAAGTCTTTATGACCCCTAAAGCTCACATTTATTTTTCCACATTTGTTATATTTGACCAATTACTGGTCCCATCATGTCCTCTAGTTGTCTAGGGTGTAGTACCTTGCCTCTAATGCCTATCCAAAAGCCAGCTCTGTAAAGGTACTCGTTCCTATACTCTTCCTGTGCCCATAAGAATAAACTCGACAGGTGCCAAATGAGGAACTGACGTGCAAGTAAATGAGTGTGCACACAGACATGTTCATTACCTGGCCCATGAAATCTGTGAAGAAGAGCATGTTGGACAGGAAGGCAGTCCATCCAATAAGGTGGCTGACACAAAGCCAGCGGTAGTGAAGAGGCATACTCACCAGCGCCCTCAACAGTGACTTAATGGTCACTGTCCTTTGAGCCTGGAATAAAACATGAAACAGGTATGACCTTCAGAGCCACACACAGCCAGCCATGAGAGTCAGAGCACACAGCCATGTTATATATCTGTCCATGGACCACCACACAGGGTCACACTTGCTGGGAATGGCACTGAGCTTTCCATGGAGAGATCTTATAGGAGGTGTTTTGTTAGATATGTGTGGATACTTAGCAGTTTCAGGCCCAGAAGGAGGCTCTGGGAGAACTAAGGGCAAAGGAAATGGAAATAGAGCTTGATTTGAACCAAGATGTAAGACAGCTAACATACTATCTTTGAATGACATAATCACTGCATGAGGACAAAACTCACACATCTAAGCTAGCCCTTAAATGATTATAATTCTTAGTTTCCTTGACTCTGAAAGTACGCTAGGCTGAATTCTAAGATAGCCCCATGGTCTCAGTCCCCTGGTGTTACTCCGATGGTAATGTTATGTTACAAGATTTTGCAGACATAAGGTCACTGATCAGTTACCTCTGAGTTAATCAGAAGGGAGATGATTTGAGTGACCCTAACCAACATAAGCCCTTTAAAAAGCAGAGTTTTTTCCAGCTGGGAGCAGAAGGGGAAGTCAGAGAGTTTCAAAGTGCATGGATTGTTGGCTTTGAAACTGGAGAGGGCCATGTGGAAAGGACCGAAGAGTGGCCCCTAGGAAATGAGACAGATTCCTGGCCAATAGTCAGCAAGCAAACAAGGACTATAACCACAGGGAACTGGATTCTACCTGAATGAGCTCAGAAGCTGATTCTTCCCCAGCTGAGCCTTCAGATGAGAAGATACTTCCATCAACACCTTGGTTTCAGCCTTATGAGACCCTGAGCAGAGAACCCAGTTGAGCCCACCTAGACTTCTAACAGAACCATGAGATAATAAATATATATGGTTTTAAGCTGCTAAGCCTGTGGTAATGTGTTATAGCAATAGAAAACTAATAATACAGAATGTTCCCTGCACTTGGACAGGTACCATTTCCCAGTTCATTCCTTTGAATCCCATCAGCCAACACAGGTAAAAGACCCTATGTTAAGTTCAAAGTGAGAATATAGAATACACAGGCACACATACACACACTACACACTGAATACACATGCCTCCAAATTCTTTAATTTAGGCTTAAGTTATGTTAAAACCAGACACTACAATTTTTTTATCAGGAACCTTCAGAGAATGAGAAATTTTGAACTATTGACATAACTGTTTTGAAATCCAAAGAATGAAACAGCCTTTAACATCTTGTCATATGAGAGAAGAAAGAGAGCTCAGGGGTATCAAGCAGTCAGCTGCCCTGGAGGCACTGGGACTGTAAACATCAACCACGGTGGGGGTTGGGTCTTTCTTGTCAGATTTTTATTCATTCTGAATCTTGACATAATGAAATTGAGTCCTGGCTAGTTTATGTATAAGACAGTCTCCTAAAGAGTTTCAGTTTTTTTATTGTCTATGACAATATGATAACCATGTATGATAATACTTTTTAATTTTTTGTTGTGGAAAATTTATATTTACTCATTGTAGATGTATTGTATAAGTTGATTTTTTTAATGAATCAGTTTTGTAGTGTCATTAGTTTGTAGTGTAATTCATCAGTGCTGACCGTAACTGGACTTATACAGTGGTCCCCTCTTACCCACAGGGGCTGCATTCCAAGACCCTCAGTGGATGCTGAAACCACAGATAATCCTGAGCCCTACATATACTATGTTTTTTTCCTGTACTTACATGCCTATGATGAAGTTTAGTTTATCAGTTAGGCACAGCACAGTAAGAGATTAACAATAACAACTAATAATAAGAGAGAATAATTATAAAATATACTTAATAAAAGTTATGTGAATGTAGTCTCTTGTTCTTTCTCAAAATATACTGTACTCACCCTTCTTCTTGTGATGATGTGAGATGATAAAATTCCTATGTGATTAGATGAAGTGAGGTGAATGATGTAAACACTTAGCATTAGGCTACATGACCTCCTGACAAACACAGATTATCTGCTCCCGGACTGCAGTTGACTGAAACCATGGAAAGCAACACTGGGTAATGGGGACTACTATATTTAATCAGTATTAAAAGGCATAAACATTCTCTTGTAGTTAAGAAAAATAACTGTTTCCTGCATATAAAATATGGTACCTATCAAAATCAATGGTAATTCTAAGAGAAACTCGATACATAATTATTACTTTTAACTCAACCATAGAAAGAAGCAGTTAAAGGTAAAGACCAAGAAACAACAGCTTGATTTTCATGCCTCAAGCTAAGTAATTTATCTTTACTTTCCCTTCCTTCTTTCCAAAAATGCAAAATACTAAAAAGTGAATCTGGTCTGCACGTATTCAGCCTCATTGCAAATATTAATCTATGCCGCTGCCTTACACATAATTTTCATCATGCTTTCATTGTTAACCTAATTTTTCCTTTCATCCAAAAATAAATATGAGCTTTGGAATTGTGCCTCATATTTCTGTAAAAGCTGGGAATGTAAACATTCAAAGGCCCTTTGGGTATTTTAACTCAGAATGAAAATTCAGCTGGCATCTCATTCCCTGACAAATCAATTCCCTAGGTAAAACCTTTCAATGGTTCTGAGCCCCTGGGAGTTGTATTACTGCATATACTGTGTGCCTTTGTTAACTGGCAGTGATGGATTTATAAATGAAAAAGGTACAGAGCCATGCAGCAGGTAGAGAACCTCATAAGGGACACGTAGAAGGAGATTGCTGATGTGCTGAAGTGAGCAAGGACGGCCTGGGGGAATTGCAGACAGATTTTATGGGATCTGGTTTGAACCCTGAAGTAACTTAAGTCTCTCACCATTAAAAAAAAAAACAAAAAACTCAGTTCTCAAATTGCACAGCCATTCTCATTTTGGAAAATAACGACTTTGACAAACAATGATGGCCAGGGCTCTGGCCTTGACAAACTGTAGACTCCCGTTGCTCAGCTGGAGGCCCCAGAGATGCATATTTGGAACAGAAGAGTCAGATGCTTGGCTTTGTGCCAAAGATATGTTACTCTGCTTTTCATTCTCATGTTGTTTTATTTATTTTTTAAGGCAAATGACAAAATCTTTCAGAGTCTATGGTGCTGTGTACATGGCATATACTAGAGTTAATTGCACTTGATGTATTTTTCTACTAGTATGGAGGGTTTTATGCCTTTCAAAAGGCTTCCACTCACTTAATTTTATTTGATCCTCACAATAGCCTCTGAGTGGAATGAGCTGGCCTCTGCTGGGTCTCTTTGAGGGGGAGTCATAATCTGTCAAAGGGGCAAAGAGGCAGGGATAATCTAACAGGCTAATGTGTTTATCTTTAGTAAAACCCTGCTTTGTCTTGTTCCTTAAACTATGACATTATTTTTTCTTTATTTTCAAAGTAATACGTGTCCATTGTAAAACTATTAGATATACTGAAGGTTTTAGAAAAGAAAATTAAAACTACATGTTAGCCCACCACCCAGAGACAATAACTTCAATTAACATTTTGGGTATACATCTTTTCTATTTTTTCTCTGTGTGTAGCTTTTCTAAAATGGAGATCATTTTGTGTATGTGTGTGTGTTTCACCTGACATATTTTGTCTTAATGAATAAAAAGCACATGCATCTTTTGATGATTGTAGGAATTCCATCATATGGCTGTTCCATGATTCCTCTGCTGCCTTGCAGAGCTGCCCAACAAGGGGCTTCCTGTCTAACTAGGACATACATGGGGTGTAGTTGTTCTCCCGGAAGTAGCCTGGTACAGAGGGAGGTGGTTTAGCTAGGTCTCAGGAAATCTAGATTTTCATTTATTCTCTATTTGCTGTGCAATAAGATGAAGTGTAGGCTTCGTCCCAATCACCTTAGTTCTTCCTCATGATCTTCCTATCATGGAAAACACTACACTCATCATAAAATAGGAGATCCCAGGGAAACTGGGTAAACAGGTGCCTCCCTTCCATTGGATTCTTTCATCAGGGTGGCATGGCAGAAGGCAGGTTGAAACACTGTGGAAACTTAACTCCAACACAGTCATATTCAAATAGCCTCTTGCCTTTAGACCTGACTTAATAAACAGTTTGTCAATTCAGACAAAAACAATGATGAGGTTCACTTTTTTTGCATTAATTTGGGGAAAATTCCAATCAAATTAATAGAACAAAGCACGTAAACTTGAGAAACTACAGACTTATAACTAGTGCCAAGATTTATTTCTTTTATTCATACACATAATTGAATAAATGCAAATGAGGTTTTCTACTAACTACAAGCAGCAAAAATATCTCTTTGAAATAGCACTAAAAGAAAGCACAGTTTTCAAACATATATCACTTAGCTAAATGCAATGTGGTATCCTAGACTGGATCCTGGAACAAATAAAAAAGTATTGAAAAACTGATGAACTAAAAGTATATGCTGTTTATTTAATAGTATTGTGCCAATATTAATTTCTTAGTTTTGGCAAATGTACCATTTGTTATGTTATGTAAAATGCTAACATTAGGAGGAAGACTGGACTTCTTTCTACTCTCTTTGCAACTTTTTTGTAAATCTAAAATTGTATCCCAACTGGTGACTAAGCAAGATGGGGTACTAATGCCAGCCTATTGGTAAAAGACTTAGGACTCCTCTAATGGGCAATTTTGGCTGGAGGACATTCCATTGGATTGGCTGAAACTTTCTCAGAGTGGCACCACACCTGAGATGCTTACTGCCCCATCACCTTTCAATGGAAAGACCTTCCACAGGTGTTTGACCTGCATCACAATAGGAAGACCTTCCCACCTACTTCTGCTTCCTTCCCTTTATCCTTCATGGTGTTTTCTTATGCTGATAAAATCTCTTACACATCTAGGGTGGAGCCAAGATGGCAGCGTGAGTAGAGCAGCAGAAATCTCCTCCCAAAAACACATATATCTATGAAAATATAACAAAGACAACTCTTCCTAAAATAGAGACCAGAGGACACAGGACAACATCCAGACCACACCCACA